GAACAACGCTTCTATCGAATGGATTTGCAATTTCAAATTAATTCAAATTAACCCTTTGCTTTCTGTTATGTAATATTTACGCACTTGTATAGCTTTTTATTTTTTTGTCCTCGCTTACTCGAGCTTTTAGCTATCTACAACATTACTTCTATATAATACTCATGAGCTAAACCCGCTACACTTGTACATTGTTTTTGCATATATTTATTGCTGAAATACACATTATTTTTTAAGACAATATGCTGGTCTTTATGCATTTAAAGAGTTTGTCTCCAAAATTTTTTGACATTTTATTTAAGATCGTATGGCCATATAGAACTTATTTGAGACAAAATATAGTTTTGTTTGAAATCGCTTGTATATGTTTCATTCTAGTCAAACTATAACATATAGATAAAAAGGAAATTTCTTTGGTGATATCAAAATTTCGAACCTTATTTTATAGCTCTAATTGTTAACAATTTTTGTTCTTTTTGGAGGTTAAACTTTCAATGAATTTATTTTTTTATTAGGTTTTGATCATTATTTTTTTATAGTTTTGCAAAGTTGCTATTCGAGATCATTTAAAATAATTTCAAATAAATGTGGACTAGCAGCAAATTTAACCACATACAATTATCTATATAGTTTCTTACAATCTGCCAGAGCCTACCTAATTGTCAGTTCAATTTTATACTTAATTTTAGTAGGTATTAAATATGATGATTATAATAATTTAATTACTCAAAAGTCAATCATTAAATTTACATTAAAAAACTCTTGAATCGGGGTTTAAACCTATCGACCATGTCTTCTTCGTTTTCGTATAAATACAAGATTAGTCGAAAAATAATTTAGTTAAAAGGCAAAGTTCCATTATAATTGGTTGTTGCAAAAGCGATTAATAAATTTGCATTCAGATTTTTTTGTCATTACTGAAAACCCTAAAAACTGGCAAATACTTATGCATGAAAAGCAAGGGATAAAAATAAGTAATATTTACCTATAATAAGGATATTAGCACCTGTTCCCATGATTGTAAGATTTGAATTCTGTATCTTTATTGCGTTAACGATTCATTAATCATATGAAATTCACTTCACTTTCTTTTGACCACAGACACTGTAACAACTTTCGTTATCAACGTGCAACTCTTCAAGTTCAATGAGTGATTACGACTAAATTTGAAATTACTTGTATATGATGTTATTGAAAAAATTTGTGGTATGCGGTCGATAATTGAAAATGCACTCACACATATATATGTACCTATACAAATATATATTTTTCAATTTTTTTTATATTTATTTTAACGTCTTGCTTAGAGCGGCGCGAACTAGCGACTGCTCGGTATAAATTTCTGAAGTAGCCACGACTTTCTGAAGAAATAAATATTACGGGGGAAAGATGAAAGTATGCAAACGGCGAAGAAAAATAAAATATTTAAAAAAGTATTATCAAACGTTTATCAAATGTGTCTTGAGACAATTTTTCATTAATCTTTAATGAATTGTATTATATTACTATATAATTGTTTCACATCACTTACATCCTATATTATTTATATTATATTTATAAATTAAATTGGTATACATCAATGATTTTCAATAAATAAAAATACGCATTTATTCAAATCCTAATTAAGATTTTAATAATCTTAAATCCGTATATTATATGTCAAAACCTCTACCAAGTTGCAATTTATATTGAAACATAACTAATAATAATATGTATATGCAAACTGCCTCTTCATCTCTTAACATTTTAAATTTACTTCATGTCTAAATATTGCGGATATTTTTAATTATTTTTTTTGAAAAAAATTATTTTTATACAAATATACTTGCAATGTTTTTTGAGCAAGAACATTCAAAAAAAATGACTACAAATCATAAAAAATATGTTATTAATAGAAATTCTAAAATATTAGAAAAACAAAGTAAGTGAACAAAATCTTTACATATACATCATTTAATTTTATCATTTTTATTTAATTTTAATTGATAAAACTATACCTAAATTCAGTTCATGCTGTAAACAGGCCAATCGACACAGACCTTTTAAGGCTTTTTTAAAACTTTAATTAATAAAATAATTATAATGATCATAATTCGTTCGTCTATAAAAATTTTATGTGTAGTCAATGTTGAAAAATTATTGGTATAGTTGGTTAAATATTGGGATATTTATCTACGATTGTGGTCACGATTTGCTTCTGCTTATGGACCTAGTGTTCCTGTAAAGCTAATTTAATCAATTTTGACCATAATTTCATTTTTAAATTTTTACATTATATAAATTATATGTATTTTATTAGTTTTCACTACGTTATAAGCTCTTGTCATAGCTTCTTTCCATATCCTGGTAAGGGCCTTAGGCTGGATAGAATTGCCTGGCATTGCACAAACGTTTTTAAAATCACTTAGACAAACACATATATAAATTTTAACCTTATAGGACAAAATGTATTTTAATGCATATACATCTTGCTCATAAATGTGATACTTGGCTCTCTGGCAGGTACTTGTGCAGGTTGAAATGGTCTGGAAATTTATTTACCGATTCTGCAGCATGTTATGACAATGTGATGTTATGAAGAACTTTTCTTACTAATTCGTTCTAAATATTGATAAAAGCCATGTGGTTGCTGTGCAGACAGACGTTTTTCTTAGGTTGTCAGATAGAAAACATAACCTAGAAACCGCACAAATATAAAAAAAACGATCTTAGATAACAGGGTCTTTCTGACCCAGCTTTATAACATACGAGTGGCGTCGCAGTTTACGTGTAAAATGTACAGCACTGATGAATGTACAGCATATAAATGACATTTGACAGTATTCAGTATGATTCAGCATAATGTATGGAAGTCGGAGCGTAACATGGCCTTGCCATAACATTGGTCTGTTGTGCAGCAGAATCGGCCCATTAATTTTTGAACTTCTCAATAAATATATTAAATCCTATAAATATTTGAAGACGCCTTGGTGGCCATGATGTGCAGAACTCGCTTGCCAGACCGTTGATTTCGTACTTGCAATTAGTACTCTAATAATCACCAGTACAATTTTTTTAACTCTACATTCAAAAGGTTCACTAGCTTTCAGCCTTTTTGTCTTTACTTATTACTTCTTTATTACAGTCATTATTCATACTATATTTATACATCTTAAAATCATAAAATCGCGCATTAAATAAAATAAAATAGATTTGTGTTACAATTGTTAAGTTTTATCATTTGTAACATATAGTCAGTATTAATTGTATATTCATATACTTTTACCGGATGCGTGCAAAACGATCAGGAAGTATTGAAGAATAGTTATTAAAATGAATATCCAAACTACAAAATCCGTTCAAACACTAAGTGATACATTTGACATTTTTATGGAATGCGGTGCCAATTCGTAGGAATAAGCCATAAACTAGTTTTAAGTGGCATTTTGCCGTATGGCAATTTGCATGAATTTCCGCACATGTGTAAACAATAGTCTTCATTAATAAGAAATTAATATAATAATTTAGGGAGCGTTCATTAATCACGTGGGGTTTTCAAGGGGAGGGGAGGTTTGACAAAAAATCACGTGGATAAGGGAGGGGTACGTATATTTATTTTTTAACTAATTAAAAAAACTGATTTTTTCGTAAATTCGAAAAATTTGTTCAAAAAATTTTACGTAACTGTGATATTTGGTGAGGGAGGAGGGTAATTTTAAAAATCGCGATGTATCACGAAGAGGGGTCCAAAAATCCATAAACAATCGATCACGTGATTTATGGACGCACACTTACAAGTATACCGAAATGCTGTAGAGCAAGGGTGAGTAACCTTTTTAATCGCACTTACTATAATCTACAAAGCTTAATATAATTTTAATCATTATAATATGAATTTAAAAAAATTAAATACTTTATAAATAAATACAACAGCCGTCGATATTTTTGAGAAAATATCGACGAAAGTTTTTTCAAACTTTTTCAAAATTTGGTCTCATTTGATTCAGAATGACTTGGCTCAGAATTATCTATATTTTTTTACAACAACTTCTATAGATATTTTTAGATATTTTGGCATAATTTACAATTATTTTTTAAATATTTTAAGTAGAATTCATACATATCGATGGCGTCAAACATAAAAGCCACTAGGACCATAGTGTTATATGAAAATGAATGAATGCAGTTCGAATTCTCAAATTAACACTTATTTTAATTTCCCATAGGGTAAATTATAGTAATCACAAAAATATCTAAAATGAAAAATTTTATATATCTTTACGTTTCAGAGGTTTCTGAACGTTTTGGCAGACTTCAGAAAAAATGGATGACAAAATGAAAAACTGATTAAATTTTTGGGAAGGCAGTGTAGCGGTTTCAAAGATCGAGTAAAAGAAGTTTAAAAAAGCCATTTGGCGGTCAAAAATGTGATCATTTAGACATGTGAGAGGCCAACAAATTTGTTCGAAATGCTTGAAAATATAAAATTCTTCGAGTAAAATATGTTTTATAAAATTCATAACAACAATTACTATTAACTATCATAATAACTATTCTTATATGATTCGAAGACTCAAATAAATTACATATGTTTTAATACCAATGTTTAGATTTTCATAAAATTAATATGTACAAAGACATTGATATCAATTTATCCTAGGAATACAAAAGTAACATAACAAAATGAAAAATTACAATAATAATTATTTATATAAAATCATGAATATTTTCTTATATTGAAACCAACAGATATATAGCCACAACGAAATTGAGCACAGTGTAGCCATCTGTTTCTTTCTATTAATCAAATTGAAAATAGTAGCGACTTCTTCATTTGTTTGGAGATAACTGCCCATGATATGCACCTTAGACAAGATAATAATATGGTGATACACACCAATTATAAATTATACGTCAAATCAGTATCAAATTTTGTTTCGTTTAAAAGTGTTAAGTTTATTTATTTGCTTTATCAACTTCTTTTTCATTCCTTCACATTCGTATAAATTCATTAAATTCAAGATTTGTGGGCTTCTTTGACATCAAAATTTTATGATTCTATAAATAATTCCTTTTTTTTGTTAGTTCATGTTCCGTGGACTTTGGTCATCAATTCAGACAAGTCAAATTTGTGATTGAAGTCGTATTCATTGTAAAAACAATATTAGAATACAATATATTTATATACAAACTTTAAAACAATTTGGTGTTTTTACGTGCTTATTATTCTTGTATATAACTAAAATGTCTTTAAAACTCTATTTTGATTTATTATCTCAACCATCAAGAGCCTTATATATTTATTTGAAAGCAGCAAAAGTACCTTTTGAGCCGTGCATGGTGCCTTTGGCAAAAAGTAAAATAGAATTAAATTATTTTAAATTTAATTCATATTTAATTGCTATTGTTCAAATATTTTATAGATGCACAGTTGAAACCAGAATACGCAAAAATAAACCGATTTCAGAAAGTTCCATGTATTGATGACAATGGTTTTAAATTGGCTGAAAGGTATAATATTTTATAATTATGTGCATATAACTATAGGTACTAATTTTACCTGAAATGTATTTAGTAGTTAACATGGAACTTGTTATTGTCGCATCTGATAAATTTTTATTATAATTTGATTATAATATAACTGATTTTTAATTGTTCAAGAAATATTTGATTATTGAATTGCTTTGGGTTTTATGAAGGCACATAATTTACAGTTGAAAAAACTGAATGTCTTTGATTTTTTTTTGGAAATTAATACTGTACAAACATTTCATTCAGTAACTTTAGATTACTTACTTATCCTTTAGTATTTTTTAAAATTGCTGTAGCATTCACATTTTGATTTATGAGATTAACTATAATAAAGCACTAAGCAAATAACTCAACTATTTCATTGTCAATATTGCCGAATTAGGGTTTGTACTAATAGTACTAATAATAATGTCTAGATAGTATTATCTGGCTCCTAAATATTCATTGTTCAGATCAATATAGTTTAAAAAATTTTCTCGTTTTTTTTAATAGACATTATAATTAAATTTAGAGATCATAAAATATGTTAAATTTTAGCCATTGTAAATTATAATATTTTATATTACTTTGTAGTGTGGCAATTTTCCGTTATTTGGCACGAACATATCCTAAGGAAGACCATTGGTACCCAAAAGATTCAAAGAGTCAGGCATCTGTTGATGAATTTTTAGAATGGCAACATACTGCTTTACGAATGCCATGTGGAATGTATTTTGTGAATAAGGTGAAGATTTGATATTTATAGAAACAATTTTTCTATTATGTATTAATTTACAATTTGAGAACAATTCAACTTTACTCAAAAGTTTGTTCCTATGTGATACAATTAATTTGAATATTCTTGTTAGTGGTTATTACCTTTCAAAACTGGTAAAGAAACTCCAGTTGAGAAAATTAATGAAAGTAAAATGCAAATGGATCAAGCCTTAGATTTATTTGAGAAACATTGGCTGAAGGACAGGCCCTATATGGCTGGTGAAAAAATATCAATAGCAGACATTGTTGGTGCTTGTGAAGTTGAACAACCTAGTAAGCAAATCATTCTTGTATATCCAAATTGTTTTTTTTAATGTTAAACAAAAATTGATTATTATGCTGTGAAATATTTTATTACAGAAATAGCTGGATTTGATCCTGCTGAGGGTAGACCTCTTTTCAAGGAATGGTTGGAAAGGGTTCGTAAAGATCTGAACCCTCACTATGATGAAGCACATAAATTTGTATACAAATTATTTAATGATCAGAAACAATAATAGGTTAACTACTTTGTTATATTATTCGAAAAATATATATTTGATAATGAATGGAAATGTTATCATTTGTGACAACTTTTTGATTCTAATTGGATTACAAATAAAATTAAATAAATTCTAGTCAGATTCTCATGCATCGGTTTAGTATTTTGATAATGCGATACATTTAAAGAATACAGAAATGCATAAATAAATAAATTTTACATTTTATTGATGCAGTCCAGCATACTTTACAGTTTGAAGTATTTAGTCTTAGTAATATTGTACTAAGTTAAAAAACACAGGTGTGATAATCATTTCATTTTAAATTAAAATGAAATAGGATAATAATTCTTTCTATATACTATATTTTCATTGTGATGTTTAGATGTTTTTGTTTGATTATCACAATTGTGTTTTTTAACTTAAAATATTGTACTATGATTAAATAATTTAAACTGTAAAGCATGTTGGATTGCTTCAATTAAATGTAAAATAATTATTTCTTTATGTATTTCTGTATTCTGCATACTGGTCCACGTATACAGACCATATAGAAACACATCTTGATTTTTTGATGCTCTATTATCTTCTTGTTTTTGACATAAATATTTTAATCTATATAAAAAATATGAGATAAGATATTGTTATCAGCGAAGAAATCCATTATGATAACAGAGTATACATAGATATAATAAGAGTATATTACGAATATATTATATACTCATATTATCATATTGTCTTGGGTTACCTACCCAATAGAAAAGTTTTGAAAACCCTGGAATTGCAATTGCTTTTGTTGACAACAAATTTAACCTAAAATAAATGTCAAATGTATTATTTGTAGAACAACCACTCACAGTATAATTATCCAAAAAAATATTCAGGTATTTTAAAATAACTAATATACTCAATATTTTAATGATTAACTTATTTAGAGGTTTATTTTTGGAAATTTAACGTCGAGTGTATTTGATTTAAATTGTTAATGTGTTTTGACTGTTATTGTCAGTTACTGTGTTTTATGGTTACTGTTTTCTGTTTAGAAGTCCTTAATAAAAAGTAATATTTCTTTTAAATATATTAGATATAAGTTTAATTATTTGACAAATGTGTAATTATATATCTATGATAATTAAGATATGCGTTTTAAATGTCTTTTACCATTATTGAATTATTTTCCTAAAATATATTTTAATATTTATTTAATCTAAAATTTATTATAAGAATATTTACTTACAGTAAAACCTCGATTACCCGAACTAATCCTTGTCGATAGGCATACTGATAATCCAATGTATGAAGAATAATGATGTGTATTTATCAAAAATTACAAATACATACATAGATATCAACAAAAATCAATGTTTAATAAGAAATTAACATTTCCTTATATAAGTACACATACATTTTTTTGGATTATATTACATACACACTCGTATACTAAACTCCAGCATAAATCGTGCAAAATATCTAATTGTATGCGAATCCCTATAACTGAGGTCCGATAATCAAGGTTCTACTGTATTTTGTATTTATGTAGCAATAAGTTTTACTCTTCTTTATAATTTTTTTTAATAATCTACAGATATTTAAAAGAAGTCTAAATATTGTTTTGTACCAATATGTCTCTGAAATTATATTTTGATTTAATGTCTCCACCTTCAAGAGCGCTCTTTATATTCTTGAAAGCAGCAAAAATTCAATTTGAACCTTGCATAGTATCACTGGGCGAAGGTGAGTTACATTTAAGAATTTAAATAACTATATTTATAATTTTATTAAAAATTTAATTTGTGAAATACATTATATATGTTTTTAGGTAAGAATTTAGCACCTGAATTTGCAAAAATAAATCGGTTTCAAAAACTACCATGCATTGATGATAAGGGCTTCAAACTTGCTGAGAGGTGAGAATTAATATGGAAAATAACTTATGTTTTATAATTAAATTTAAGAAAGTAATTAATACACCCCTGCCTGACTGAGATATGAAAATATTGTCAATAAAGAAAAATAAAATAAACATAGAAACTGAATTTTGAAGAAAATTTGAAACAAAAACATTTTACTGATTCAACTTATAATTCATGACAAAAAGAAGTTTATAGATTTAAGTATTTTTCAAATTTTTTGAAATTTGAATAAGGATCTAGTTGCAATAATAATATAGAATGCTTTTGTGTAGATTGCTTTGTAAACTATGATTTAATTTATTAAATTGCATTTATAAATTTTCTACAGAAAGCAACATTGAGCAGTCTATAATTTTTACTAAATATACTATATATTATTCAATGTAACAAATATTGTTTTTAATAGTTTGATATATTATACAGTGTTGCAATATTACGTTATTTATCAAAAGCATATCCAATAGAAGAACACTGGTATCCTCAAGAGGCACAAAAACAAGCTTTGGTAGATGAATTTTTGGAATGGCAGCATATCGGATTAAGATTACCTTGCGGGATGTATTTTATAACAAAGGTATAGTTAAATGACTTTTTACTATGTTTATATTTATATTTGTATGTATATTTATAATATACATATGTGTTTCATATTATCACTGTAGTTAAATATTGTGGAAGTTAACATAAATACAATATATTTATTATTTTTGAGTAAGCATACTTGTAGAAAATAACAATATTATTATATAAGTATAGAAGTTTAATTGAGGACCACTTAAGTCGGTTCAGTAAAGTAATATTTATGCTTTTCTCGCTCTATTATTATAATAAATATTGTAAATTATTTTTTTTGGGCTGTTTAATTATTTGTAAAAATTTTATTATTAACAGTTTTTGACGCCGCTAAAAACAGGTAAATTTGCAAGTCCCGAAGAAATTAAAAAAAGTGAGCAAAGGATGCACGACGCTTTGGAATCGTTTGAAAATCTTTGGCTGAAAGACAGGACATACATGGCTGGAGACCAAATATCAATTGCTGATGTATTAGGCGCATGTGAGGCCGAACAACCGAGTAAGTTTTTAAAAAATTATTATCAAATCAATTTAAATAATTTTCATATTTCAATAAATGCGTTCATGATATGTTATTCGGATGCTTTTACTACTACGATGATTTTTATTGTAGAAATAGCAGGGCTTGATCCATCCGAAATGCATCCCATATTCAAACAATGGATGGAAAGGGTGCGCAATGATCTTAACCCGCATTACGATAAAGCCCATAGATTTGTTCAACAATTTTATGAACAACAGAAAAATAATTGATTTTGTACAACAATTTTCTCTATAATTGTACAATAAATTATTTTTGATTAAATTAATTTTAAATTGGTATTTTATATATTTCGGATACATGATTTGACTCATTACAGTAAAAGTTTAACAATCAAAGCTTAAACACTTAATAATGTGGCAAATTGTTTGAAGCATAACAATATAATTGAATATAATGTTCGCATTTAAATTTGGTTAATGTGTTGAGATTCTTCTTGCGATGAAAATTCCTTCACATGCAGGTAACCCCCATAAAACACCGTAGTTACGTTCCAAAAAAGTAGCGTGTTATGCGAATTCGTGTTATATCCGGGCAAAGAATTAGTTAAAATGAGGGGTTACGTTCCAAGAATTCAAAAAAACATGCTCTACATATCATGACTTTATAATATTTAATTATTTCAAGAAGTAATATACATTACATGAATTATAAGATTTTTTTTGTCATAACTACTAACTAAGTGCAATCTAACGCAATCTGTTTTTTGCAAGATATTCTCATCCTCTGAGCAGTTTTTGGCAAAAAAATTATATTTGCTTTTGATTACTTGCTTTTAGCAAAATAATATTTATATATGTAACACATGCAAAGTTATCTTTATTATACTTTTATGCTCATTTTATTTAAAGAATATTTGGTCAAGAAATGTGAAATATAATACCGGATAATCCTAGAATTTTTTTCGATAGAATTTACGCGCTCGAATAATAAATATCAGATTACTCATCTTTTGCCCTAGTTTTATCACATTTTTAGAATACAATCAAAAAGAAATTATTAAAATTATTTTTAAAAAAATATTTAAGATATGTCCAAAGTTTTAGTTCTAAAAATATTTTAGTATTTATAAATTTGTTTATGTTCCCGTTACTGTAGCGTTTAGATTAAAATTAGAAGGCTTTATTAAAACTATTTATAAGCAAAAGGAGTATCAGACCACACTTGTATTTCTTAGCCTCATATTGCGAGCATACAATATGTATTTACGCGTGATATATACTTAGACATGATAATTTATAATCGACTAAAATTGGAATTAGTAAATTAATTTGCATGTCTAATATGTTTTGATTTGTTTGTTGAAAGTTTGCATATATTGTAATTTGCATGAATTATCTTTTACATTGAAAAAAGTAACTCAGTAATCAAAATTTAACGTGAAATTATTATTAAAATGAATATTCCTATAATGTGATTTTAATTTAGTTGCATAAATGCAAATACTCTAGGAATATGCATTTGCTCGCAATGTAAATAGTAGCTAATAACAACCGGTTTCACTGCATCTGCAAGCCTACGTTTACACAATTCTGATTTACATCAAATATTTGATTTTTTATAGTGTTGACAGCAATCCTATAAGCTTGTGATGATTTTTAATGTGGTTTTATAGATGACAAAACTCTAAAATTTATAGCTTCAAGCAAAAATACAAATCATAGTTCGTGAAATATCATATCAGATCAGATATCTGATCTGATATGATATTTCACGAACTATGATTTGTATTTTTGCTCACATATATATGTATATCTGAGTACATTTTAGAATTTGCTCACAGGCATTAATTGATATTGTTAAGTCATATACATTTTTCGAATATACATAATGTATTATAATGAGATTTTAATTATATATATATGACAACTTGACTCCAAACTTTATTGGAACCAATTTTCTCTTTGAATTCGCAATCAATTTTGCGTACTATCTTTCAACAAATTAATCGAAATACGCAACATGAGTACAAAATCTGGTTATATATAATAAACAATGTCATGAAGCATGCATCTGCGATGTGTAATAAACACATGGCGATATAAAATTTCTGTATAAATTTGACGCAATCAATTTATGGATTGAACAATTGAGACTGCGCAAAATGAAATAGCATTCTTCAAACGATTATTTGAGATCATTGTTTGAATAAAGATGTGATGCGAAATAAAATATAAAATAAAGGTTAAGGATAAGTCTCTCACTTATTAAGTAATCATTCAGTTAATTTGAAAAAATAAACTGCAGTATTTTATATAAAGTTTTCACAAATTATCAGCATTTTCAAAAAGGCATTTTTTTAATATTGAAATTTTTCAAATGTTTGCAAGATTTTCAAAAATGTTCAAAATTCTAAAAAAACTAATTGTTCTTTTCTGAGCTTTTAAAATTTTTTAATTGCGGAAGGGGTAGTTTGAGCAATTTGCCTTAATGCACGATGCCATTCACCACTAGTTAATTTTACATTTTTTTCAGATTTGTATCACATGCAATTGAAATTTTGCCACAAGAGCTTAATATGTGTAAATTCTATTTTGAGGAACCGTGTTATAAATTACATCGGAGGCCAAGGTTCATTAATGAACAAAACAATACGCGGATCCGACGAAAATAAACAAACAACTTTTGTTTTCGTATCACCGTTGTGTTGCCGTCTATATGGAAACAATGGTTTTATAAATATGCTTTTATAATTATATTGCTCTGTTGATATGTGAAAATTTAGAAATATGATAAGGTAATAAGAACAATGCGACAACATTTTTTCATTATATTAACAATGATATGTTTCGCACATTTGAATTAACGGCGGAAATAATAATTCACTAAAACTGGACATGTATGTATGTTTATAAAATCCTGTCGTGGTGTATGTTTAAAAACGTGGACTAGCATTAACTAGTTCCGAGTTCGATCCCAACCTCGGCCACCTCGATATCAAATAGTATGGTATCAATTTTCCACTGGAGATTATAGACCACTAATATATTCTCAAGTGAAAATGACGATTTTGTGCTGCAATGAATGAATTCTCAATGAAATATTATCTATACAAATATATCTATAATGAAAGTGAAATTACTGTTCAAAGTATTAGATAAACATTTTGAAAATCGTTGGTGTATTTTTATAAAAAGGTTACATCAAAAGTTTAAAATCATGAAACATAAAAAACAAGGCTCTGCATGAGTTGTGGCTGTTCTTAAAAAAAAGGGATCGCAGCTTAAAATGCGAAAGATGCATTTTATCTACGTTACTGTTTACTTGTTTAAAAGTAATAAATTAGAAATAGCTTTTTAACGGTCAAGTGTCAGGAAGTAAGGCATAAATCTCAGGAAACAATTTATTTATTTATTTATTTATTTATTTATTTCTTTATTTAACGCCCAAGGCAATAATACAATATAATTACATTCTAAAGTGTACAAATTATAAACTAAAGATAATATGAGAAAATTTGGGTATTAAGAATTCATATATAGATTTGTATATATACATAACACTTAATATATATAAACTACAAATATAAAACAATAAATAAAAACTAATAAAAATTAAACATTTAATAAAAACTAATAAAATTAAACATTTAATAAACTATAAATCACTACTTAAGACAGTCTTGAAGGATAATTTTTCTGGCATGTAATTGTGAATGATGATGATGCTAGTATTGATTATACCTATATGGTTTTCGATGTGAAACAGATTTGATAAAACACAAAGTATTGATATAGTGTCAGTATATTGGTACATAAAGTCAGTTATGAATATTTTTTATGATACCATAAAAAATATTGTATGTTGATATGGAATAGTATGAAAGTACGTTTTCATGATATGCGAGTTCGCCCGGTTTAAATAATTTTATTACTTTTGACGCTTAGAATACAACTAGTTTGATAATTGTAACCGACTTACAGGTTTCAAGAGTTTAATAATAATGTTAGCAGGTTCAGAATATTTACTTATCTTTTAGAACATTACAAGATGGATACTATTAGCTCAATCAATTAGCTCTAAAGCTCTGCTACCGTTATTTTATTTAAAAGTCGAATTACGCTAAAGGATCATAAAATTACCGCTCAGAGTTTCACACAGCCAATTGAAACACGTTACGAATATAGTTTATTATAAATTTACACAAATTAACCATCGTCGCCTATATTTTATTTTATTTTCAGAGAATATAATTAAACCGATTTTCTCACTAATTCTACTAATTCCTACGAAGGAGTTGTTATATATTAAGGTTTATATTTGAAAATGCGCTTAATTATATTGCGCATTAAGTTTTAATTGATAAAAACTAACTAGCTTATGATAAAAATTCATAGAAATCAGATTATACGTATTCTGATAATTCGAAGCAGTGAGAACAAATTTTCAAAATTTTGATGCCGAGACTGCATCATGTTGATGAAGTCCAATAAAAAGACAAAATTAATTTATACAAACCGGGGAATAACGACATATGAGAGATAGGAAAAAGTTATCAAATTTATGTGTTTATGACCCGTTTGGACCGTTGAATAACTGTTTTCTCTTAACCCATATTGAATTAAAACAAGAAGTTATTCAACAGCCGAATTTTAACATGCATGTACCTGGAAACACACACACACAAGCACCTAGCAATATATATATATATATATATATATATATATATATATATATAATATACATGTTTAGTCTGTTTTTGTATATAAGCCTGATTTTTCATACACAATTTAATGTGACAAAAATTGTTTGTCGGAACACTTAGCAAGCATATCTCCTTTTATGACAAAACTTAATAGCCAAAGCTTCCTCTCATCGAAGGATCTAAAGTCATAAAAGCGACGACGTCATTAATTTAATCAAATCAGGATTTTCCATGTATATTATATATATATACGAGGTGTGTTCAAAAAGTACCCGGAATTTTTAAATTTCGCGGGTCTGGAGTGTCTGATTGTCAAAAATTTTTTTTTATTGTGTTGGTATACATGCCCCTAAAGTATGATGAAATTTTCAGCTATATTCACTGTTTACTTTGTCTGTGGTAGTCGCTAAGGTTCGACGTGTTTACTGAGCTCGGCGATTTTTACAATGGAAGAATTGAAAAGTCAAAGAATTTGTATTAAATTTTGCGTAAAAAATGAAATAAAGTGTAACAAAGTGTGTGAAATGTTACAAAAAGCCTATGGTGAGTCTGCTATGAAAAAAACAAGTGTTTACGAGTGGTATAAGCGTTTCCAAGATGGCCGCGAAGACGTTGAAGATGACGAACGCTCCAGTCGACCCAGCACGTCAACAAACGATGAAAATGTGAAAGAAGTGGAAAAAATGGTTATGAATGATCGCCGAATCACAATTAGAGAAGTTGCTGATGAAGTTGGCATATCAATTGGCTCATGTCATAACATTTTTTCAAATGTTTTGGGCATGAAACGAGTGGCAGCAAAATTCATTCCAAAATTCCTCACTCGTCGTTGCTTGTTCGTAATTTTTTGGCCAAAAACAATACCGTAGTCATGCCCCAACCTCCATATTCACCAGATATGGCTCCGTGTGACTTTTTCCTATTCCCAAAGTTGAAGAGACCCATGAAAGGACGGCGGTTTTCCTCGATTGAAGAAAATCGCTGAGAGTGCTCAAGGACATATCAAAAAGTGAATATCAAGGGTGCTTCGAAAATTGGAAAAAACGCTGGCATAAGTGTATTATATCTGGGGGGGACTACTTTGAAGGGGACCACATTAATGTAGACGAATAAATAAATATTTTTTTGAAAAAACGAAAATTCCGGGTACTTTTTGAACAGACCTCGTATATATATATATATATATATATATATATATATATGTGTGTGTGTGTGTGTGTGTGTGTTTGCATGCGTGCCCATATGCATGATTTGCTTGTGTCGAGGATGCCAAAATATTCAGCTCAATTAAGTCGTAACAAATTCATTGTCTCCCATGGCTGAAACAATTGATTCAAATTACTAGTTTAAAATATTCGATCTTCCATAAATAACTAATAATATTGAAAGATTTAAAAATGTTATATTTACTCTTCATTTCTGATAGAATATATTATGATTATTTTATCAATTGGTTCTGTAAAATTTAACAATTAGTACACTTTTTGAAACTCTTAATATTTCAGTGCTATTTATATTCTATTCCATATTAATATGAAATATTGTTATATTTTCAGTGTTCAAAAAAAAACTATATTTTCAGTGTTCTTTGAGCTGTTTTGAAGTATTTTTTACTTTCCAGCTTTTTTTTTATTAGAAGGAAGCCCAATAGTTGACCTTTCTCTTTAAAGTTTTTACTTTACATACTCCTTGTACAGTGTGATCTGATACATAGCAGCAATGCCCAGAAAGGCTATTTTCACTCGGAAAAATATTTGAGTCAATATTTTCAAGTGAAAACGGATATCACTAGTGCTTGATATCACGTAGTGCGGAAATTGAACTCGAAACCTCATGGTCGAGGCTCTTACCTCTGCACTACGAAAGACCATTTTCAAAATATAATTTAATAGTAGTTTTAATATCAATTTCATTATCATATCAATTTTTTGCTGTTATTTACATAAACCTTATTAAAGCGAAATAAAAAAAACATTATCTAATCCATCAAAATATATTTTGTTTTGATTAGATAACATCGTCGTTTGATAATAGAATTTCATTAGATTCTGTGTAAATATTTGATATAATTTATGAGATAATAAAGTCGTATCACATTGCGTTAGACGATATAAAGATAGACTCAAGAAATCGATAACTTTATAAACCAGCATTATTATATTATCTTGAGTAGATACAGAATAAATAATAAATATTCTTATATTATATATAATGTTAGTAATATAGCACATACATTTAAATATTTGTCATAAAGCGCATTTGTATGTAAAGATTCAAGAGCATTTTAAAATCTCTCATTTGCATGTTTTTATTATTAGAATGATGCAATAATTTTTTTATTATTTTAGGGTACCTTTTCAAGTAATGTAAACACATTTAATTTAAATATTCATTTAATGGCTTTAATATAGAATGTATAATTAATCAACATTTATTAAACATTTATTAAACGCAAATAATTTTTTTTATATACTTTGTTAAAGAAATTGTTGAATTTATAAATTAATAGATAATCCACAAATCAAGTTTACTTTAAACTGAGTTGTTGAGCAGATTTAAAAGATAAATCGTCCGTAATGTTGATCTGATTTTCCTCCCCGGAGAGATAACAGTTGACTTTTTGAGAGGCGTGAACATTATTTTATGATGAAAAGATTCTAAATCAAAAAAAATATTTACAAAATCGATTTACACCAACGAAAAATATACGTCATAAATTAGTTTTGGAAATTTTTAAAGTAAATATGCACATTTAAGAAATCTATAATATTTAAATAAATAACTTTTAGACTAATGCAATTTAATCCGTAAATGTCTTTCATATTTGTAATGTACGTTTGACTACTTTTTTATCCATTATATTTGTTTCCGATTTTGTTGTCACATGACTAATTATACTCTGTAAATAAGAATGCAAAAAACAGAAGACTTATTTTTTTAAGAAATAATAAATATTAAACTTTCGTGAACATTACTAACTTTTTTACTATGATATGTAAATTAAGGTTAAATTGATTGCACGTGCTTATTAAATAAAATTTCGAGCGTTTGAGAAACTCCATTCTGAACAGCTGACTACTTTATAGTTTATTATACTGTAATAATAGAGTATCAAATGCGGGGGGCAAATGAACTGAAGACAGAAATATCTAAATTATGAAAAAAATATTTCTTGTATAAACATTATAAAATAATTTTGAAAAGCGTTTATTTGCAGTTTTTTAAATTTATTTTTTTAACAGCCATCAGAACTTTTAACGAGTTTTATGAGCTATTGTGCTATCTTCTTAAACGTAATGACTTTTTTATAGATGGCAACCCAAACAGTTGCCTTTTCTGTATGTGATGAAATTTATTATATATAATTTCTGAATAGTAATGGAATATTATTAAGTTAAAATTCACTCCTACTATTGATCACGTGAGTCTCAAAAGCGTGAGAGAAGCTTTACTTTATTTTACTATATTTAACAAATCTCGAAAAATCACGTGAGGGAGGGGGTTCTAGTAAAATATCATATTTTTTACCTGACTTTGAAAAAAAATTTTACGATTTTTTTCACGCACCAAAAATATACTGTTTTTTTTTAACTTCCTATTACAATTTCTTACATTTTTGGTCGACGGGGGTTAATTATAAATATCATCACGAATCAGCAGGGGAGACAAGGGGTCCAAAAATGCTTAAAAATTGATTAATGGAGACCCCTTCAGGGTCTTTATTGATGGCAAGTGATAAGCTTACAATTAGCAATATTTTAATCTTTTAAATCGTTGGAAAAAAATAGTGAGATACAGCATATTAAGTTTACATATATAAATAAATATATATATATATATATATATATATATATATTTATATATTTATATAAATTATTATAAAGAAATTATGCTCATTAACAAACAAACAAAAATGAAAAAAATGTCTCAGAATATTGAAAATGAATAGGGGCGTCCATTAATCACGTGGGCGAGTTTTTAAGGATTTTTGGAACCCCCCTCCCTTCCCTTGGTGATAAAACTTGATATTCAAAATTACCCCCCTCCCCAACAAAACATCACGTGTATTTTTAGTTACGTAATAAAACTATTTTTTAAATTTTTTTTTAAATGTTTGAATTTGTTTTTAAACAACTAGTTAAAAAATAAATACACGTGATATCTTACTATACCCCTCCTTCCCCCACGTGATACTTTGTGATTTTTTGTCAAACCCTCCCCTCCCCCTAAAAACCTTTTAGGGGCTTTTTTCAACATGTCTGCATGTTGAAAAAAGCATTACGACATTATGATTGTATTGTCACAAATATGTTAACAAATGATGGTAATAATTAGTGAGTTACATAGTTCGACACCTCTGCTTTAATTCTTGTTTATACCATAAAACTTTAAGAAGCGCAGAAAGCCGTTATTGCCTCGTCGCACCAATCGGCTTCGTGCGCTCACGGTCACGTGCCTTCGAATAAAATTCAAACTGGCACTAAAGAAAAATGATTGTATAAATGGAATGGAGACCGTAAGGGTCACGCGCCTGTTTGTGGTTCTTATCACGGAGAGATAAGAACACGAGAGCAAAATAATTATTTACATACATCAGTTATTTTTGATGTGCCAGTGACAAGTGCATTTCGCGAAAGTGAAATCGAATGAGGTTATGTGTTAGAAGTGTCAAAGTGTAACCACATTGCGGCGGATAGTGGATTGCGAGGAAGAAGTAAGACCGTCCGCGCATACACGGTATACATTTGTGCATGGTTCGAAATGTTTATTTTGATTTATTTTTTAAACTAGCTGTAAGTGGAATTCTGTCTTAAGGCAATTAAGGCATCGTGCCTTAAGGCAAATTGCTGGAACTTCCCGTACCGCAATTCAAAATTCGAGTAATTAAACATAATCAATAATAGTCAATAAACGTTGATCAATGATTTGAAACTTTTAATAAAATTTCGAACCATATTAAATCATCTTGAATCATTCTATCTTAAATCATGTATTTTGAAATATTTTGGAAATTCTGAACTTTTTTTCAAACCAATCGTACTGCTTTAACTGCATAAAGACGAAATATCGAACGCGTAAACATTGGTACGGAACCCATAGGAATGTAAACAAAATTTATACTTATTATTAAAATCTCTATAAAATATCTGATAATTTGATGTGCATATATCTAATGTTCATTTTTGACCGCCTAATGGTATTTTTTTTACTTTTTTTTGTTAGATCTCCGATCAATTCTTCATCTTGTCAATACAAGTAAAATGTTTTTTGAATTATTCAAATCGGACGCTCCATTCTCTTAAAAACTGAGTTACCGTTTTTGGCACTTTTTGCCCCATACCTTGGGAACGGCTAGGCCTGCCTTCACCAAAAACTAATCAGCACGTCTCCTTATCAATACGAATCGAATGTTTTTTGAATTATTCAAATCGCTTCATCCGTGTTCACGAAATCGTCGACGAAAATTTGTATCCGCGCACACACACACACATACATCCATTTTTTCTAAGGTATGCCAAAATGTTCAAAAACCTCTGAAACGTAAAGATATATAAAAATTTTCGTTTTCGATTTTTTTGCGATTACTATAACTTGCCCTATGGGAAGTTAACTAGTGGTGCACTAATTGCTGGTACTTTCCATACCGATAATTTTATTTTTCAAAAAAATTTCATTTAAAAAAAAAATTAGAAAAAAGATCTTGGGAATATTGGAATTTTTGAAAAAAATTGAATTTTGTTTTAGGCGAAATATCGAAGCGCTTCGTCGCTGTCTAAAAGTCTAAACGTTGGTACGAAATCCATAGAAATGTAAACAAAAATTGTTCTTATTATTGACCCTTTCAACTTGAATGCCGCCGCTCCGACGACAAAATACATATATTTTCCGGAATTCGCGAGTGGAAAGGGTTAAAATCTTTGATAATTTGATGTTCGTATGTATAATGATCGATCATCTTTGACCGCCAATTAGCGTTTTTTTACTTTTTTTATTGAATCTCCGAAACCACTAGACCTGCCTTTCCAAAAATTATCAGTTCTTAATTTCCATCGACACAAATAAATTAATTTTTGAATCATTCAAATCGGAGGCTCTGTTATCTCAAAAACTTGAGATTGGCATTTTTGGCGGCGAAGAATTTTAAAAATTCAACTGCTTAACGTATACCTATAGTACTTTAGTTTGTTATTTCAAACTAAAAAAAACAACATTTAATTAACTAATTCGCGATTCCCAACCAATATCTTTCGAACAGCTTTTGAATTTTTAAAATCGATTTAAGATTGTGGGCTAAACCTTGGACGATTTTTTTAAATTACAAAGTAAAAACTGATCTAGTACTAATCAAGATACTTTGAATGTCTTTTAAATTTTAGAGATCAATCCAGCAGCGGCTGGACAATCACATACTTTTACCACATTTGGTCTTCTTTGATGGAGAAAACATAACTTTAGCTAATTTTTTCGTAAAACATAAACTTCCTTTTCGAAAAGTTAACAACAATTATAGTTTTATATTACAAAGAATAATTAAAAAAGAGTGCGCGTAAGGATCACACGCGATTGAAGTAAAACTTATTTGCTACTGTACAAAGTAGCAATTTTAAGTTAAGTAAAAATAAAATCATGTAACAATTTTGAATAATGTTTATTAGTAATATGGTAGCATTCGTGATGCACACATTTATTAGTGTCAATCATTATACACATTTATATAATGATAGATTATAAATTATATATTTATAATAGCATTAAAAACATGTATAATATTTAAAAACAATAATGTAATTAAAGTCATACTTCAAATATGACATGATCGGTTTGTCATTGTAATTAGCATTTAGAAATGAACCTTCGAGAAACAGAGTAAAATATTCTTCTGATTCAGGCATTTTTCATTAAATCAAGATTAGTACTACGATGTAACTTTAAAATGTTTATTTATCTATGCCGATTTCCTTGTTGGTATCGGTACGCATACAACGCTGATGCCATTACGTATACAACGACAGATCTGTATTCACATACACGACCACTAATCACAATCGACCCATATAGAAATGATATCATCGAGAGCGAATGACGAATCATTGGCACTCGACTCTTATTTGCCGTAACGCACTTCCGTTGCATTTGTACGGATTTACACCCTAGTCGCGCCTAAAGAAGTTTTACTTCAAAAGTCTTCTTTCAAACTACATGAATATCTACAATAAAGTTATGAATACTTTTGCAAGTTGTGAAAAACTAATATTCGATTTCAAACGTTGATCACAATAAGTTAGATTATATTTATTATCCATAAGAAATGAAAAAAATAATTATAATATTTAACGATACTAAAATCTATTTCGGATATATAGCACAAACAGACAAAATTGGTAACAAAATTAATATATTATTAACTGATCAAAACATTTATTTTCTTGTTTTGTTACTATTTTTTAATCCTAATACCAAAATTTAATTATGATATAATTAAGTACATTAATGAAAGGTGAATCACTGGGTTTTCCTTTTAAAATTCTATGCTATTTGTCAAATTAATTACTCAATGCCTTTCTATTTAGACAGATTGTAATTTATACTTTCAAATTTTAGTTGGTGTTTTTTCAATTTTATCACAACTGATTTTGATTGATAAGAATTGATTGTACGAACAACTCTAGTTAATTTACAAATTTGCAACAAGTCCTTTTTTGATTAACGCAAGATCAGTTTTTGTTTGCTACAAAATTAGCAGAATCGTCTAAGGTAAATCATTTGCTATTTAGTCAACTTCAACAACTCCAGTAGTTGACCAAGCTTAGGCAGAACATGGTCATCTGATTTTGTGGAATCCAACAATAAATTAACATAATATGTTACAATAAATTATTATATGTTTATGATACTAGATTGAAAAGTTGTGAATTAATACGTAATAAATCAGTATTTAAAGTGTCCAAATTAATTTTTTATTTCCTAATTAGTGTGTGAAGTGTTGTGATGAGAGGTGTTTTACTATGTCTTCTGAAAATGTGAGCGAGCTACCGAGCGATGAAATTGAAGGACCCATCAGAAGCATTTTCATGTGTGAATTTCATCCGACAGCCGGGCCCAAAATAACATGCCAGATTCCAGAGAATTACGTAACAAAAGAAGTCTTCGACTCTGTGAGTGTTTATATGATACCAAAGGCCCAATTGCAGAAATGCTCATTGACTGTGTAAGTAATGCTATTTTGAAATTATTATCTTAATTTATTACGCAAATTAGTTTGCTATATGCGCAGTTCTGGCGTCAGTTGGTAAACAATATTCGAGAGTGAATGGAATCATGTTGTTTTGAGATAGTTTTGTAATTAGTTTATATAACGAATATTGATTAATATAAATACGCTGATAAGAATTCCAATTAATATTTAACGCTATTTGGATTATTTCGTAATTCTTATATGGACAATCTATTAAAGGACAAGCATATAATAATTAAATTATTATTTTTTTAAATTAAACATATATATTATTCAGACGTGTAATATTCATATTATTTTTGGCTTAGTAGCCATCCATTAATTTCATTTATTATTTAGAACAGCAATCAGAACATATAAGGGTCCCATAACCTGTTGTGTTGAAAACACATTAAAAATCGGCAGAAATTATTCATGATATTGATTAAATCAATAATTAAAATACAATTCACAATTATTTCACAATACAATCGAAGTGGTCTTAAAATAGTAGCACCAGACGTATGCCATTAAAATTGCAATATTTGTTTTTATATTTAAATACAATTCAACCTTTATTAGGAACAAGTCGTGAATTACTGGTACATTCTAGTAATGAGTCATGAATTTCACTAAATGCTTATCAGTTTTTTCTTAATAAGAATAAAATATACTCCTCAATTTATTATAAAAGGTATAAATTATATAATTATATATAAATTAAAAAATAAAAAGTAATAACAACATTATTAAATATCGATTATCTTTGATTTTTGGAAAAAAAATGTAACTTGCTTAATTGATTTCCGGAATTTGTTCAAATATGCCTAGATTTTTGATTTCAGAAATTACTTATATTAGGTTGTCAAATATCTCCCTTCCGCTTTTTTGCTCTTGGTTTATAATAAAAAAAGGCGGAAGGGAGATATTTGACAACCTTATATATAGTAAAACGTTCCTAAAAATACCTACCTTCTTTTGCGTACATTTGTATAATAAATATTATCATTTTGCTTATAAATTAAATGGGAAATCAAAGTATTTTACAAGACGTACATTTTAATTATACTATTATAATTAATTTTTAATTATATTATTAATTAATTATATTTGTATTATTATAACTATAATGATTGGTACTAATTTCTGAAGGCGATTAGGCGTATTTTGATATTTCAATTAAAGAGGGTGACAATTTTAGGTATATTTTATAAAATTTCATCAATTTTTAGGCTAAAAATAATACATTTGACAAAACTACACAAATTTAATATAATTATGCACAAAAACAAATAAAAAAAATTCCTAAAATAAAAATAATTCGTCTTTGATGTGTTATATAGTATCTGGAATATAAAAATATTATTTCAAAGTACATTTCTTGTTTGGATAGGGATTAAAATATTTGGTGTGATTATAATACTTATCTATTTAACAATGTAATGCAAAGTGAATGTCCGCTTATCATTTAACTTTTGTTTTCTTCGTGAACACAATGCTTTTATAGTTTATACATACACAATTATAAATATATATATATATATATATATATATATATATACATATATATATATACATATATATATATATATATATATATATATAATTTACATCTTTACATATTATATATATATATATATATATATATATATACATAGCTGGGCACCGTTAATCAAATAGTTAACTTCGTTAATCGTTAATCCGCTACAAAAAAAGTTAACTTCGTTAAACGTTAAAGCGTTACATTTCGGAAGAATTAACGCAAGTTAACGTTAATCGTTAATCCGTTAATATGTGTAAAATTACATTTTTATATCGTTGCGTTAGTGAACTTAAAAAACTTATTAACTTCCCGTAGGGCAAGTTATAGTAATCGCAAAAAAATTGAAAATGAAAATTTTTATATATCTTTACGTTTCAAAGGTTCCTGAACATTTTGGCATACCTTAGAAAAAATGGGTGTGTGTGTGTGTGTGTATGTATGTATGTATGTACGTGTGTGTATGTATGTGCGGATACAAATTTTCGTCGACGATTTCGGGAACACGGATCAACCGATTTGAATAATTCAAGAAACATTCGATTTGTATTGATAAGGAGACGTGCTGATTAGTTTTGGCGAAGGCAGGTCTAGCCGTTCCGAAAATACGGGACAAAAAGTGCCGAAAACGGTAACTCAGTTTTTAAGAGAACAAGATAAGGAATCGATAAAATTTTCATGAAGGTAGGTCTAGCGGTTTCGGAGATATGGAGAAAAAAGTAAAAAAATGGGCCATTTGGCGGTCAAAAATGATCATTAGACATATGCACATCAAATTATCAGATATTTTATAGAGATTTTAACAATAAGTATACATTTTGTTAACATTCCTATGGGTTCCGTACCAATGCTTATGCGTTAGACAGCGACGCGGCGCTTACGCGCTTTATATTTTGTCCCTATACAGTTAAAGCAGTACGATTGCTTTGAAAAAAAGTTCAGATCTTCCACAATATGTCAAAATAAAGAAAAACTAGCTGTAAGTGGAATTCTGTCTTGAGGCAATTATGGCATCGTGCCTTAAGGCAAATTGCTGGAACTTCCCGTACCGTAACGAAATGTTCCAGGAATACTGAATGTTTTCAAATAGATTATTATAAATATTGTAACATTGTCTAATATTTATGAGAATTATATAAACTGAATTGCAGAGTTGAAATTATTTGAAAAGTATATTAGAACTATACTCAGAATTAAAAATCTGAAATATTTTCGATATACAAAAAACTAAAAAAAAAAAAAAAAGAAATTGGAACAAATTTTTTTTTCCAAAATCAATTATTTTGTTAAGATAAGCAAAAAGTTCTTTGAATCATTTAAATCGGACGCTTAGTTCTCTCAAAAACTGCCATTTATTACATATTTTGCTCCGTATCTTCGATATGGCTACGCTTGCCTTTGCCAAAAACTAATAAGCACTTCTCCCAATCATTACTAATTGAATGTTTTTTAGATCATTCAAATCGGATACTCCGTTCTCTCAAAAATTCGATTTTAATTTTCTGCACTCTTTGCTCCGTATCTCCGAAACGGCTGGACCTGCCTTTGCCAAAAACTAATCAGCTCTTTTCCCAATCAATAGGAATCGAATGTTTTTTGAACCATTCAAATCGGTTGATCCGTGCGCCCTAAAACGTGACTGGAAATTTGTATCCATACATACATACACACACACACACACACACACACACATCCATTTTTTCTGAGGTATGCCAAAACGTTCAGAAACCTTCAAAACGTCGAGAAATGTTAAAATTTTCAATTCCGATTTTCGGCCCATTACAATAACTTACCCTACGGGAAGTTAAAAATATTTTTTTTCAAAAAAAAAAAAAAAATTAAAAAAAATCTTTTATTTTTTAAATTTTTTTTTCAAAAAAAAAGTTATTTTTTGTCCAATTTATAGTTTCTCAAAAATCTTATTCTTTCAAAGTAATTTTTTTTCAAAAATGTTAATCGTTTTAAAAAAAATAATAATTTTTGGTACGGGAAGTTCCAGCAATTTGCCTTAAGGCACGATGCCTTGATTGCCTTAAGACAGAATTCCACTTACAGCTAGTTCTTTAAAGAGTTTGTAGCTCTTTGGTTTTTCTATAGACTGAGTGACAGAATTGAAAAAGTCTTCCTCCTCGTCATCATCGTTGTTACTCGCATTGCTCCCTCCGCCACTTAAACTATCTCTGTCCTTCGAATTTTTCGCTGCTTCTTGCCATAAGGCATCTTCTACCTTTTTTCCGTGCATTTTCTTACTGCATCCTCTCTACTGCTGTCATACGTTTCCAGCCACATTAACCGAAACTTTGGGTGAAATGCCGCGGCAAGTTGGCACTGTTCATCATTCAGGAGTAGTCCAAATCTTTTCTCTATGCCGTTTAATAAGGCATTGGCTAAAGCTGTGCCGTGCGGTAAATAGTAGGCATTGGATTAACGATTAACGGACTTCTCGCATTTTAACGGAAGTTAACGTGTCCGTTAACATTTTTAAAAGTTAACTTAAAAGTTAATCCGTTAATCAAAATGTTAACTTCGTTAATTAACGATTAACGGATTAACGAGTTAATGCCCAGCTATGTATATATATATATATATATATATATATATATATATATATATATATATGATTTACAACTTTTATAATAAATATTGAGGAGTATATACACTTTCTTATTTACATATCTAATTATAAATTCATGTTCTTTTTTCATTTTTAAATGATCATTTAGCTTTTGAAACCATATGTGTGAAAGCGAATTAAAAATTCAAGAAACATTCTCAAAAACGTGTTAATTGTTTTGATATAAACCATGTTTATTGAGTATTTGATGAGAAACTAAAAAATTGTTTTCGTCGTTCATTATTTTCGTTTATTTTTGTGTTATTTAGTTTTGGAATTCTGATTCAAGCAATACTTCTTATAAATGTGTATATATACGTATATGTGTCTAAAAACAATTGTTTACCATTTATCCATATGGAATCTGCATTATACGGGTTAATTGTTTTAACCGACATCATTAAAAGTCAATAATTTTAGAAAATTTATCCAGAACTTGCTACATTCCTTTCACTGAATGAATTTCAATCTTTCTAATTCATTTGAAGTTTTTGTTTTCTACTTGTATACGTTAAAAATTTATTGTAACGTATTTCAATATCAAAATTTCAAGTTATTGTTCTATACGGAAGTTCTAGGTTCGATACTTAGGCCAGCTTGATGCCAAGCAGACATAAGTTTAGAATATATATAGATCGCAATTTGTTTCACAGTGAAAATGGTCTTTAAACTCAATAAAATAAGTCATCACTATTAAAATTTCTAATAATACATTTATAAAATAGAATTAGAGCAACCATTGGTCTGCCATCTATAAAGCCATGTCATTAAGAAGTAATCACAATTGCTCATAGGACTCGTTAAGTTTTGATTGCTGCTAATATAATAACAAAAAGATATGTTGCTGTAATAATTTTATTCTTAGGGGAAAACAACGAAATAAAATAACCTTTATGTAATAAAGTAATATTAAATTTGAATATATTTTTATCCATTTTTCGGGTAATTGATATATAATGTATACGACATTAGGACATGAGTAATACTCATTAGGTCAATCTTTTTTTTTGGAAATAGTTTTTAATAATTTTCATGCATAATTATATACTAATTGTAAGTAATAATTAACACGATTAATAACTATATTTATCTATTACTTTAATTGATTTTTGCTCAATTATATGAAATGGATCTTAGATTAAAGCGGTGTTAATGATACAGTATATAATTACCTTGCGTTTTAATTAGTGTAAGCTAATGATAGCTCATTATCAACGAGTCTAGTAAAACGCGTTTAAAGAAAGACGATGGAATCTTAGTTTACTATAGTAAATTTATAAATTCTTTTTTTTTTCATTTTAAAACTGTTTATTAAAATATAAACAATTTACTAAAATCTAATATTATTCAAATTTTAGTACAAGTTTTTAATTTTAATGTAATGTAAGATAATATTCGTATTATGAATAAAAATTTAATCTTAAAATTACATCGGCATTTACCTAGATATAGAGGTATAGGTATAGAGCTGTACATTGTATACTTTGGTTGTATGATATTTTTTGTTTTTACTAATTGTAATAAATATTTGTTATTAAAATTCGTTAATTGTTTAGCTATTAATATCTAATATTGATTTACGCCAAAAGTGTGTATCTTTTACCTTTAAAAGTAATGCCTCCGTTATTAAAATCAAATAAAATGGGAAATCTTTCCGTTGAATTGTACATTACATAAAAAATTTAATAAATCATTTATGTACTTAATGACCGGTCAAAAACGTTAGTATTGGGTAGTATGATAGATGTATCAACTAATTGTAGTCATAAATGAGAAATGGTAAACCAGTTTCACTCATTTTTTTAAATTTTTACTTTCAGAACGTTGGACGGATATAAAATACTGGGCTATCCTATGCGCATAGAAAACAAGAAATATATGAGGAATGCATTTTTATTTAATATATGCCTGGTTTTTATAGAAGATGCACACACCGTTCGTTATGAACCTCTTCTCAAGAAACTATCGGAGTATTTGGTTAGTATACTTAGCATGGAAACACATAAACTAAATAAATATAACAAAACAATTAGACAAACGTAAAGTATTATTACTTATATTTAAGACTGTAATAAAAAAATTGCATGCAGTAACCGTGTGGCCTACTTGCATTTTCTTTTTATACAAATATCTGATCTGATTTTACCTTTGAGGAATAAGGCTGCATATAAGGGTTTATATGCATTTCTTGTGAATGAAAGTATATTATTTCCGGAGTTTTCAATTGTGGGTAGTGTTTTTAAATCAATTTATTACTTTGCCCATATTTTCCCATATGATCATAAAACGAGTAACTATTTAAATGATGTTATACTAATAGAAAATTCATGCAATAAAGTATCTCGCCCTTTAACGTGGTAATTTTTAGCCCTATGCTATTCACGATTGGCTCTTTCTTTCTACTACAGTTTCTAATCTTTTGAAAAAGTTAAAATAAATATCAATACGAATTTAGAATAATGTAATAACAAAAAATAATTAGATTTTATTCATGTTTTACATAATATTATTAATTTGTAGTCTGATGATATCAGTTGAGTATTTATAAAATTAAATTGTTGAAAAAATTAAGGGGGGCGCTACATTTTTGTTGTTAGAGCAGGGGAGCGCGGGGCAGAAAACGTTGTAAACCACTGGTTTATGGTCTACTTCCTTGACCGATCGCAAAATAATTAAAAATTATTTGTGTAATCACTACATTTAGTGAATAATGTCGTTTCCTCATCTCGTTTATTTACTTTCATCAAATTTCTAAATTAATATTTTTTTAATTAAAAAAATTAAAAACACAATTTTTGTACTCATTATTCATTTCTATTCATTTCTATTATGAATAAGATTAAGGCTTAACTGCTTAATTGCGGTTATTTATTGCACCTGATTATTATCTTTGTTATATAAAATTCATATATTTTTTAATGAAATCATTGTCATAATTATATTATATTTATGAATTATATTTTCAGTTAGCCCGTGAAGTCGATTTCGGTTTCTTATCTCAGCCCTCATCCCGAGAAGGCGATGACAAATCGGTCCAATTTAAATCACCGTGTGTTAGGTTCAAATCAGATCTAACTATTCAAAGTGTACACGTTCAAACGAACTATGAGAGGCTTGTATCTATTATGGATCAAGTGAAAAGAGATATTAATGCTGAAAACATGTGCATTATAACAGGTAGGAGGAAAAAATCGAAACAAATATATCATAATTATTATTGTTTAATATGCTAGGTCTGCATACTATCTTATTTCTAACTATTAACTTTATTCAATTATAATTTATAGATGGTCCGATATCTCTCCATTTGACTGTGGTTGATGAAATGCGGGATCCTGCACCAGTATTGGATCATCATGTACCAGTTCTGACAGGTTTAGAAGAAGCTTTCAACCAAGAACAATGGGATCTCACAACTCACCAAATTTTACCTCATATAGATGGTTATACACATGTATTAAAGATTGCTTGCAAAGCAGAAGTTCATCCGGATCTAGTCAAAGATTGTATACAAAACTTGGTGAGCTTAACTCAATGTAATATATTAGATATTACATCCTACTGTTCTAGTAATAAATATGTTTGATTGCTAATAGGTATGCTACAAAGTAGTGATGATTATACCTCTATTCCAATATTGCAGTGTATACACACCAACTCGAAAATTACAAAAATTAGCTTCTGATAGAGAACTCCAAATCAAATGCATAGAGTTTTGTTCAAAATCTGGTAAGATCAAATTTTGCATTTAGAAGTTGTGTATAAAATATATTATTATAAAACAAACAAAAAATTAATACTAAAAAAGTTATCGATATATTAATTATTAATAGGAGATATTACATATTTAATATTGAACTTTTAGATCATTATAAAGAAAAATAAGAAACGACACAATCTATTAATTATTGATTGGGAAAAGCATTAAAATATAATTTTAGATTAAAATAATCTCATTTTATTTAGCTCGGCAGCCAGCGACTGTTTCAGATCTATATAGAACTTATGCAGCTATGGGTCATGGAGTTTCCTTAAGAGATCTTTTCTCTCGAATGAGTCCTAATGCCATGAGAATATGTGAAAGAAGTCTAGTCAGATTCGGGGTAGTGCAAGGTTTAATACGAAAAATCGACAAGGTACACTTTTTGAGAGATTTTAAATTTTCTACAATTTTCTGGTTTATTTGAAACATTTAGGGTAGCTAAATATTGTCTTTAGGTCTTTAATATTATAAATAAATAATTTTATTTAAAGATGTTAAAAATACCCTTGAATTTCAATTCCATAAGATCGCTTATATCAGAGAAAGTCAATCGGCTGCATGCATCTATAATCATGGTTATATAAATGACCAAATTTAAATATGCATATGAAAATTTATAGAAATTCAAAGTGAACTAAAAGAATATATATTTTTAATCCAAAGATTTTAACTAATAAGTATCTGATATTATTTAATAGCTTTATGCTTATCCTAATATTCAATTTTTACTCTGAACTTATTATGAAAAATTGTCACTTATATTTGTTTTTCTAACATTCTATACCCAAACATAACTGATTCATTATTATCAATATTTCAGTATCCCATTACGATTCAGTCTAAAGGTAAGCCAACTTATACGGGTCATTACACAATGGAAGAAATTTGCTGTCGTTCTTGCATAAATAATAGTCAACTTGAAGCAGAATTGGAAGCTGATCAAGAAACTTTAGTTATTTGTAGGTAACCAATAAATTATGATGAATCCGTTTGATTTGAATTTTTATAATCTCACGTTTGTTTTATAAATTTAATTTTGCCAGATAAGTATGTGCATGATATAAATTCTTATTATTAATGCAATTAAAAATTGTCAGAGTTTATATAAATGACTGGAAAATTCTGTTTTAAAATCTATTTAGATTACAATCTATAGTTTGTTTTTAATTTTCAATATTTTTTTTTTATAAAATTGTAATTAATAATTATAATATTTGTGCATAGTCATGGAATAAGAAGTGTAAAGTAGGTATCCTGTTACTCAGGGATGCTGAATAAGTGTTCAATTTTATAATACTTTTTTATTATTAATTTTAATATAAATATTATATGGTTGTGAGCTTTAATTATATTTTATATTCAAAGTCGGTGTGTATTATGCATATAATAGGTACATACTTTAAAATTATAGCTTTCTTGTAAAGTAAAAGTAAAGACGCACATCACATCTGATTTTAGATGTTACATAAAAGGTGTTATGATTAGATTGTTTTTCTTAGCATCGAATGAAAATTTATATTTATAAAGTAGATATATATATTATAACATGTATAACAAAGATGCGAATGTTACAGTGTGCAATATTAATATATGTGAAATTCGAAGTACCAAACTGAGCTAAAAATTCATTTAATAATTTGTAGATACAAAGCATCAAATGTTTATTGGAGCCGTTTTCACAATTTGAATTAAATCTCAAATATGCGAATAATTATCTTGTAGAATCAATATGTTTATGAAATTATATATTTTTGTTACTTGATTAAATAACATCTTATTTACTACACATTCACCAATGAATTATGTAATGAATTTTGCACATAATCAAGTTATTTCTTTTACGTCTACTAGTCTATATACATCAGAGATATATACATAAAAATATATTTTAATATTACATAAATTTATATAATATAATAATTTAATCTTAATATATTAATTGTTTA